AAATTCCAGGCCTCCATCCCCTCACACCAAACACAAAGAGGCACATACATCCCTGCACGTTCACATCTACACTTCCACAAAACAAACGCATACACACACGACAAAGGAAAATTAATTGCTTAAGCTCCTTACAGTTTCTTCAACAGGACCACTTTCAGTCTTCAGGCCCATTAATGAAAAAATTCAATGCCTTCTTCCCTTTTTGTCTCCCCAGTTCCCTATAGAACTGTGGAAAATCTACGGGGATTCTCGACTGAGGAGCTAGTTGGTCAAGTCAGAAGGCATCTCAGGCTGTGCTTGGAGGAGCAGCATGGCTCGCCGACAGCCCTGAGGGTTTCAGCTGTGAGCTGGTTTCCCCTTCTCACCCCGATTTCACAGAACGGCTGGGGAGGGAAAAAAAAAAACCTCACAGGTGTCGGGGCATCAGTGAAGTACAGAGGGACTCAGACACCCTGACTTCCTACTCTCCAGGCTCGAATTTCACACCCATTTCTAACCGAACAGTACCTCTGAAGACAGCTAGCAGTACCGTGCGGATCCCCTCTGCCGGGTCCTTTCCCTCCACGGACGCCCCACTGGGGGTTTCTCTCATTCACCGCTCACTCCCTCCACTAGTCAGTTCCTGAGCTACTGTACTGAACCCTCGCACAAGGGACAACGGTCTCTCTGCAAACTCCCACTCCACTCTCTCCTCGGTCTTTCCCTCTGCACCCACAGATTTCTTCTCTCTCTGAACTGCCCGGAACGCTCATAGTTTTATTTGCCTGTTTCTTTTCTTTTTTTTTTTTTTAAGATTTTATTTATTTGACCCAGAGAGAGCGACAGCAAGAGAGGGAACACGAGCAGGGGGAGTAGAAGAGGGAGAAGCAGGCTTCCCGCTGAACAGGGAGCCCGATGCGGGGCTCGATCCCAGGACCCTGGGATCATGACCCGAGCTGAAGGCAGACGCTTAATGACTGGGCCACCCAGGCGCCCCTATTTGCCTGTTTCATACAGATCTCATTATCATGAAGGCTGTGAACTGGCTGTGGAAAGGGGAGGCCATGCTCCCCGCAAGCCGTGTGCACTGTGCACATGGGAGTCCAGGCACATATCAGATCTGCAAAACCTGAACTGACTGAGGCACCGTTCCCGAAGCCAGCCTTCAGTCCAGCCAAATAAACTAAACACTGGGGGATTATTAAAGGGTGTGGTAGGTACTCCCTGTGCCAACGAGCAAGTGCTCTCCCAGGGGGCTCCATCACACACCAGGCACTCTCCACCACTGCGCTGGAAGAAGGAACACTGGCTGAGGACGCCGGGCAGGATGACACGCTGACAGAATCCAGGGGGGCCCACGTAATCACGCCCACTCCAGTCAAATGCCAAACAGGGTCAGGCCAGGCCTCTCAGGCCACCAAGACTAGTGCTGTTCAGACAAATTATCTGGCAGTGATCGGCTTTCATCTGGAACCTGTTGCCCCAACTCCCAAACTAAATTCTCAAGCCTGAGGTTTCGAAGTGACAGGAGCACGACCTATGAGGCCAATGTGGAGCACTGACTTTGAATCACTGGCTACCGCTACATAAATCAATCAATGGGGAAGAAGGGAAATAAGTGGTTGTTATCAAGCCTGGAGAAATCCTAAGTTCTGACATCTGTCTGCCTCAATAGCAAATGACAGTCTCTCCAACCTAATACCATCGCTGTTCGGTTTTCTCAGGTTGATAGAGGACACTTCTTCCTTCTTTATTGTGAAATATATCATGCAAACCAAAGAATATATTAAAGATATATTCGGTTCAAAGAAGACGAGTAAGATGAACACTCGAGGACCCACCCCCCACATTCACAGTGCTGGGAAATTTCTGTGTGCTTTTTCCTTGTTTTACCTACCTTCAGCCCCACAATGAGAACCACTCTGTTGAACTCAGGGTTACTTATTCCCTTCCATTTTTTATGGTTTTACTACTTATGGAGGAATCCATAAAAAATATATATGGTTTATTTTGACATTTTTCAACTTTATATAAGTTACATCATACTGTGTTCCCCCACCCACCCCCCGTGGCCTGCTTCTCTTGTTCAACATTATGTTTCTGAGATTCCACCATATCAATGCAACTATCATTCACCCATTTTTACTATGGGATGGTATTTCATTGTAAGACAATACAACAATTTATATTTTCTTTACTCAACCAGACCCACTGACTGCATACTAATATGGTGTGTCTATAAATCAATTTATGCCACATAATAAAATAACTAGGGATGTTTCACACAATTATTCTTAAAGAGTGGGCACGATCCCACTGAAAGACAGAGCTTGGTGGTCTTATTCTGCAAGCAAATGGTCCCTTTACTGGACGACCTTGGGTAGATGAACCCCTAAATAAAACCCTTACATGGTTCCAGTTTGATAACTTAATAAAGCAGGGGAAAGGAGAGTAAAAGGCTGTTTGACATGGCAATCTTCACCTTCCTGGACATGTCAGAGCATCTTTGATCATGGTGAATAGCACCCAAGTCCAAGAAAAACCTACCCCTCACATAGCAAAGGCTAAATATTTAGTCTAGGAGAAAGCAGGCAGAAGCCCATCCTCTACCCCAGGAAACCTAGGACAGCAGAGGATTGTCCTTGAATCCTGAAGGCTTGATTCATCACCCTGCTAATTACAGACCTTGATGCAAAAACATCAGCCAGGCCACACTTCCCAGGTTTGCAGGTGAGGAAGGGGGTACCACGGAGAGTCTCCAGAGCAAAGGCACCCCCTGCCACTATCCCTGAGCACTCCCAGGGTGCAAGGCTGACAGAGCTCATCTCAGTTAATCCCAACAATGTCCTTGTGAGGCAGGTGATATCCCCATTTTGTATTTGAAAAACACTGAGGTGCCGAGAGGTTTAGTAACTTGTGCAGTATCACAGAGCAAGTAAATGAGAGGCCAGGATTCAATCTACTTTTTCTGCTTGTAAAGCCCCGTACCCTGATCCAGTCAACTACCCTGCTACCACCTGATCTTCAGTGCAGCAGCGGGGAAAAGGAGTTCTTAGGGACAAAGAAGACACTGCCTTCAGGTGATCCTTTCAAAAGTGTTTGCTACTGAATGTCAGCAGGCTCCATGCGAAAAAAGAATAAATACTTAGGGGCACCTGGGTAGCTCAGTCGTTAAGCGTCTGCCTTCGGCTCAGGTCATGATCCCAGGATCCTGGGATCGAGCCCCGCATCGGACTCCCTGCTCAGCAGGAAGCCTGCTTCTCCCTCTCCCACTCCCCCTGCTTGTGTTCCCTCTCTCACTGTGTCTCTCTGTCAAATAAATAAATAAAATCTTAAATAAATAAATAAATAAATAAATACTTAGATGGCAGAGGCCTGTGAAAACTCAGCGGCCATGCGTGGAAAATGCTACAGGAGCTAAGCAGACCAGGGAGGACTCCTACACTGATCAAACTACTTGGAGGGCACTCTGCCCACCAATAGTTGACTAGCATCGAATGTCTACCATGGGTTATGGGCAAAGATGCATCCAATTTTCTGTTGAAGTCTGGTTGCTGCTTTACAAGACAACAATCCTCAATACAAACAACAACAAAGAAGGGCTCCTGGGACACGTGAGTTTCAAGATCTATTCACTAGAGAACTTCAGAGAGCAATAAGTAGGTCAAGAACTTAATTCCAAAGGTATTAAGAACTGGACTCTGCCTTCCAACCCCCAAATAAGTGACATCAGTTGCATATGACACAAACTTTCCAAGTCAGCTCGAAGACCAAGATGGCAGCTGCTAGTGCCAAAGCTAAGAAGGCATCATTCCCAGAGAGTGAAATGCTGAGGTGTTCTTCTCCACCAGCTACTCACCACCAAAGAGATTCTGTTTTCTCTAGCTCTGGGTGCCCCTCATGCCTCTGTTGACACAAAATTTGCCAATTATTTCATTGGTCCTTACCCTGTGAGACTCGACTATTTATCCCAAGTTATAACTCATCTAGCAAGTCAAGGAAAAGAGTGAATGGTCTTCAGGGTGTGAGGCAACCCTCTACAGAGGCTTAGAGAAAAGAGAAAAGGGAAATGGCACCTTGGCTTCTACTGACGCTACACACAAAAGATCCAAACATGCGATCCTCTCTTGCTCCTGACACCTGCCTGGCAAACCCTCAAAACCACCAAATCCAGAGAGGCTGACAGCTGTCATTACAGGGATCATTCAAGATGCTGTGGGTATCGGCTGAAATCATACTGTGTTTCTCAAAGCATTATTCCCACTCCCTGGGATATGTTCAGGAAGATTTTTACTAGTTTTTTCACTTACTCTCCGCAGATAGTAACGATTTACAAACTATACTCATAAGATTCTTTTCCCTAAAATTTCCTTAAAATGTCTGGAGATTTTGTACACAGTGATAAATAATAAAATAAAAAAGTAAATAATTTTTAGAAGTCCCCAACTCCCTCCTCCCCAATTCTCTAATATACCTGGGAATTCAGGTGGCTTGGAAATGAATTTGCACTGTTAACCCAGATGTAAGATGGGTATATCAATAAATAAAATTAAGTCATTCCTGATAGGTATAATAAGTATAATATAACTCAGACTCCAAGTGCAGGAGGTCTTAATCAGTACTCCAAAGGGAATCATGGATCACCTCCAGAAACAAAAATGCACAGACAGAAAATCTCACATACAAAGAACCATTGCTCTAAGCATTTCTGTGTGTATCCTAAAAGGATAACTCTGGTTGCTGCCCCCATAACATAAAACACCAGTTACGTTCTGTTCAACAATCCCTCTTATCCAAATAACCATCTTAGCCAGTCCCAATCTCTGACAAGGAACCCCTGACCCTTCTGAATATCCCAAATTCTGTACTCCCCTCTGGACCTCCTTAACATAGTGAGTCAGTTGGAAATTTCCAACAGTTTCTAACATAAATTGTTCCTCGCCACCTCCCAACATGTTTTCAATAGCTCTGAACACCCTCCTAGCTCCTGCTCATCCACAAGGGGGCAGAGGTTGTCTTACCGAGATCTCCCACCAAAGCAGTTTGTGCTGGGGGGCTGGTGTCGGTTCTCTGGAGCAACAGCTGTCCCGCTGGATTCTCTTGAAGGTGGCTGAGATCCTAAATAGGGGACCCATCACAAGAAAAGACAGAAACATTGAGAAGCTCAACCCTTGTTTGAGATGTGGCTCAGGAACGAAGTTCAGTCCGTGCATTCAAGTGACCCACCACAGCTTGCTAGCAAGCTGCGGCCTCCAGCAAGAACAGGGAATAGGGATAGCCAGACGAGATTCAAGCGGGGTTCCAGAACAGAGGCGCTCAAGCCTGGGAAACAGCTGTTCTTCTCCGAGACCTTCAAGAACATCTAAGGCACTTACAAGCAACTTGCCTTGTGCATTAAATAAACTTCAGCTGCACCACGTGAGACACAGAACAGATGTTGACCACGCAAAGTAGGGGCAAGCAATGGGGGCATTTGTCCATATCGCAACCAGAAAGCTTTTAAAAGCCAAAGCCGATTCAATTCAAATCAAATCACGACACTCTTCTGCTCAAAACCCCTCAAGAGCTTTCTGCTTCTTAGGATGAGGTCCAAACTCCTCACCAAGGTCTTTGAGGCTATGGTGATCTGAGCCAACCTGCCCTTATGGTCTCACCTGCCACCACTCTTCTTCTTGCTCTCCCCAGTCCAGCCACCCTGACCACCTGTTTCTACTGCAGGCCAAGCTCACTCCCACCTCAGGGCCTTTGCACAGGGGACCCTTCTACCTCTTACTCAGCTACCCCATTCCCACACTTCCATCTTGGCCTATCTAAACTCTTCAGCTCCGGTGGATCTCGCTTCCTCGAAGAGACCTTCGCTGGCCCCCAATTTAAGTGAGATCCCCCTAAAGTATGAGAATCTCATATCACCCAGTACTTTTCCTTCATACCTTTTGTCATGATTATAATTACATAATTATTTCTTCATTTATTTGTTTCATGTCTAACATCCCTGCCCCCACCAATTAAATCATGAGCTCCTAGGAGTAGAGACCATATGAATTTTGCCCCTGCCATCTGGCTAGCACTTGGTCCAAGATCTAGTATATACCAGGTGCTCAATTATGGATATACGTGCAGAATGAGTGAATAATGCATGTTTTCTCCATACACCAAAAGTACCCGAAGCACCACTCCATCCAGGGAGGATTCTCAAGTCAAGCCCCATCCAATCACTGAGATTCTACCCAACTGCCCTTAAATCAGAATTCAAATTTCACTCCCTTGAAGCTACAGAAAGCCTGTCTGGGGCCTGGAAAGTGCCATAGTTACCTCACATTCAATGAGAAAAATTATGGAGAAACCCAACCCATCTCAGACCTCAGACTTCATGAAATAATTTGCTGCTAGATCCAAAGGTGACTAATTTCAAACTAGATCAAAAGAAACAAACTGCCCTCATTCAGGACAGAGTGGGAGATACTCCACTTTCCCTGCTTCTGTCTGTATTTTGCTAGTGTGAATCTCTAAGACACACAGTCCCCTTTCCCAACCAATACCGTCATATAAAAGACACCTTCAAGTTCCCCAGGAAGTGTAACTGTATTGGGAGGAAAAATGGGCCTAAGTAACATTTAATAAAGACATTTTATTTTCCAGAGTCCATGTGGGATGAAAAGATATTTTCTCTGCTCTCAAAGCAAAACAACAACACTCGTATAAAGACTTGACGTTTATTTTGGTCCTTTATCAGAAAGCTGTCCTTAAAAAATCGTGTCACAGTTTTGATCATGCTAAGACTGCTAAGAGGAATCAGGGCTAGCTACGGGCCAGGGCTTGCTGAGTGGGACCCAAACCCAGGTACCTGGTCGAGAATCAAGCCCCGGGCACCTCCCCCACCCCAGCCCTGCCCCACCCCATCCCGGCAGAGCCCCAGGGAGCAAGCAGGGCGGCACTCACCGTCTGTCACTGCGCTGCCATTAGGCACGCTTCCCAGATCAACAGTTGGCCCGTCCAGGAAAATTGTCAGCTCACCGCCCGACACAACGCCGCCTTTGTTCTCCGTCTGCAGGTTCAGGGTCAGCTGCGTGTTCTCCACTGTTGAACAAGAAAAGCAACAGGGATGGACTAAAGCAAATGCACCCCAAGTTAAGATTCTGCGAGTTATCAGCCCTCACTTAACCTACTCTGGCATCCTTGCCAACATTTTTCTGCCGCTTCGCATCTGTCTTGTGGCATGGAAGGAAGAATGGGAAGGAACAGGTCTAACTGTCATCACTGCTGTATTAGACTGGGGGGAAAGGCTGCATTCTTGTTTTTCAAAACATGTTATATCTTTATAATTTCTACATGACTGATTTGTTTGCTTATACTTGCAGGACTGTGAGAAAACCCCAGAGATATTTGATGGCATATAGAGGAAGCAGTGAGGAGCAGCATTCCGCCCCACCCATATAAAGAGTGGTGGCAAAAAAGAAGAGAAACAGGTCAGGAGACCCTGAGGAAATGTCATCAGGAGTCATCTCTAGATGAAGGATTACAGGGGCTTCTTCTCAGATTATCTGTATTTAAAAATAAACTGTTTTTAATTTTCACTTCTGAAGATGTTTCACTTTGAAATAAGGTAAAATTTTTAAGCAATAAAAGTTCAGCAAAGGTAAGTCATCCCCACAATAGTCACATGGCACTGGGTTACTCCCTGAGGAGAAAGCAGTCGACGAGGGGCTCTGCGACGGAGTTAAGAAGGCACCTCGGAGTGGCCTGGCCCCTAGAACACCAGGCAGTCAGTCCTGTGGGCGAGCAAGAAGACTCAGGAAACCACAGCAGAAAAACAGAACAAACTGACACGAGGCAGAAGCCCCAAGCCCTCTGTGGGCTGGAAAATGCTGCACACACGCCCCCCCAACCCTCACCACCAAGCCTGGCCACACGGAACAGCTTCCACCCAGTTAATGTTCAGGAGCTAAAACCTCCAGTCCAGGGTCATTCGGTAATGACCGAGAGAGCAGTGTTTATGAGGATTTCCAAACAGCACACGGCTCTTCCATGTCTTCCCACACCGTACAGAGCCAGGCTAGGAGACAGCCACATGTTCCAACCTCCCTCCCCACCCACCACCCATCAAACCACCGCTTAATTCTATCTCTTAGTTGCTACTGTATTATTATAAGTTATCTCACTGGTTTTCTAGAACGAGGCAGCATATGCGAAAGTACTTTCTAGAAACAACCTCCCCCAACTAAAAAAGCCAGCCCCAAATATAAGATACAGACACAGTCCTTTAAGAACTAAGGAAAAGTCTGGATCAATTCAAGGATCTACTGTAATAATGTGGAAACCAGTTACCCTTTAGGTGTTCAAGTTCTCCTAAGCATCTCTACCTTCCCTTGCTCTCTCTTGCCCGTAATGGCTCTCTCCAAATCCTTTGGAGTCTGTTGCTATTTTCAGTCAGTTTCACTCAGGGGCTTGGTGAGTTCCAAACATCTCTATAAAGTAATACTTGTAATCTGAAGGTGAGTTCCTTCAAAAGCCTAGTAGTCAGGAAAGAACTGAGGCCCTTTGACCACCCCCTTGTCAGCCATGCAAATGAGCCACCTACGAAGGAGAGCCTCCAGCCCCAGTCTAGCCTTCAGATGACTGTGGTCCAGCCACTGTATGGACTACAACCTCATGAGAGATTCCCAGCTAAGCCAGTCACAAATCCTGACCCACTGAAAACCAGGAGATAATAAGTATTTATTATTATTGTTTAAAAGAGAAGTCAAGGGGTGTCTCCCTACTGTATTATGCGGAGATCCAGGGCCTAAGTCCCCAGCAGGTAGTACAGCACAGAGGTTCAGGATGGGCACCTCCCAGCCAGGCAGACTGGGTTCAAATCTCAGTTCTACTACTTAGTAGCTACAGCATTATGCAAATTACTTAACATGAGCCTCAGTCTCCCCACATGGAAAACAGGAGCAATAAGAATACATTTTCCAGCTCCCTGCTCGGCAGGGAGTCTGCTTCTCCCTCTGACCCTCCTCCCTCTCATGCTCTCTGTCTCTCATTCTCTCTGTCTCAAATAAATAAATAAAATCTTTTAAAAAAGAATACATTTTCCAGGGGGCACTTGTAAAGAATGAAGCAGCCCCCAGGGGGCTCTTAATAACTTGTCATTTTTATTATCTCCCTGTTGACTTTCCTGTTTTTAGGCTGCAAAGTCCTGATTTCTCTTAGTCGAATTTGTTCATTGCAAACAGGCACTTCTCTTGACCTTTTGGAGCCTTTTCTGGGTTGCAGCAACAAACTCCAAAACGTCTTCCAAGGTGAGCTACCTAACCATCCCAAGGACAAATCATCTTTTCATCTTGTTTCCAGGACACTTCCTAAAGATGCCCTGCCTTCTGAACTCAGAAATGTGCTGGGATGAGCATTCCAGAAGGATTCCTTGATTCCTTTCTTGGTGTCTCAAAGGCCATTATTTTACAAATGGAGTGTGGGCATGGCTTTCCCTACTTTCTGGAGGGAAGATAATGTTCAAGAGGAAGGTAGGGGAGTCCCCGCAACCTTGTTGCTTATTTCAAACTCCTGACGGTCACACTGCTGTGGTCCTCTGACAGAAGCCATACGCATAACTTGAATTTTTCTCTACATGGTCTCATCTCAAGGTTCTAACTTAGTTCTTCTCTCTACCCCTTAATCACATCCAATAGAGTCATTATATACTTATAGGCTCAGAAGTTACCTTGCAATACCTTGAGATATATTTTACCTTCAAAAAAAGCCAGAGAGGGGCGACATCTTTCATCTTTAAACAAAACTTTTGAGACCATAATTCCTCCATTGTTCCATTTACTAAAAAAAGAGAGAGTCAGAGAGACCTCTGACCATCACTGTCATAACCAAGTGGTCAAACGAAGTATTCCTAAGAGCGAGACAACCTGACACACACACACTTCCTGATGTGATGCAGCATGAAGTACGCACATCACTTTTAAAGTCTTCTTCCTAAAAGCATTGAGCCTGAATCCAATTAAGCCGCTAAATCTCCTTTCCGATTTATTACATGAAATAAGGGGACAGAGAAACAAATTCAACAATACCATGAGGAAGCAATCAGACAAATCCAGAATACAGGACATCTATACAGTAACTGTCCTGGGCTCTTTAAAAAAACAATGTCACTAAATACATTTCTTTTCTTAAAAAAGTGGGGCAAAGGGGCGCTTGGGTGGCTCAGCCGGTTAAGCGTCTGCCTTCGGCTCAGGTCATGATCCCAGGGTCCTGGGATCGAGCCCCGCATCGGGCTCCCTGCTCCGCAGGAAGCCTGCTTCTCCCTCTCCCACTCCCCCTGCTCGTGTTCCCTCTCTCGCTGTGTCTCTCTCTGTCAAATAAATAAATAAAATCTTTAAAAAAAAAAAAAAAGTGGGGCAAGAAGGTGACTCTTCTAGATTTGAACAAACATAACCACCAAATACCATGCCATGTTTTACTAAACGTTAGTTTGAAAAAAATATTCTTGGGGTGGGGCACCTAAGTGCACAGTCAGTTGAGTGTCCAACTCTTAGTTTCAGCTTGGGTCATGATCTCAGGGTCAGGAGATGGAGCCCAGTGTTGGGCTTCACGCTAAGCACAGAGTCTGCTTAAGCCTCTCTCCCTCTCTCTCTGCCCCTCCCCCAACACTCTCCCTCACTCTCCAATCAATAAAATCTTAAAAAAAAATATTCTTGGGGCAAGTGGAGAAATTTACATCCAGACTAGATATTAAATGATGTCTGAAATGACTGTTAATTTTCTCAGATTCAATCAGAACCTATGGTTTTACACATGAATGTTCTTATCCTTGGGAGATGTAAGAAGCTTATGATGATATCCACAATCCCTGAACGGTTTTATAGGAGAATAAGCTGAAATTTTTAGGAAGGAAGTGTCAAGTTATCTGCAATTTACCTTCAAATGGTTCAGGGGAAAAAAGCACATGCCCACAGTCTCACACAGATAAAACAAATGCAGCAAAATGATAACAAGTGTTGGGTCTAGGTAGAGGGCATGTGGGTGTTCACTGTATTCCTCTTTCCATTCTCTTGTTTGTTTGAAAATTTCATAATAAAAAGTTGGAAAAGGGCTTTTTTAAATTGGCAAGGCTATTAAAAAATTAAACCTCTGAGAACAGAGCACCCCATTATTCTCTTTGAAAAAATTACCTGAGCCAGGGGAGCCCTACAATGCATAATGGGACTAAAGAAACCATTAGCTGAGTGAGTGACAGACTTGAGCATACAGGGGAGGCTGAAAGGAGTAAGTGTGGCTGGAAAACATACACTGGAAGCTTAGCTATAAATAGCAGCCTGAGCGGCTTCGCCTCTGGGGCCCTCGGGTTTCACTACAGCCATGCTGACAACCCTACAAAGGGCCTTTCTCTTGCACCATGTCTTCCTACTGCCTTTTGAGGCATTGCTCAAACACCAAGAAACTGCTGGAAAAAAGGGCACAGTAAGTCGACTGCCATAACCAGAATCAGATTGCGCCGAGGAAGCGCACCAGTTACTTGCAGCTTCGTTACCCCCCACCTCTGCCACGGTCATGCCATCCACGTTTGTGTAGCGAGCACCTACTAGTTGAGTCACTGAGATTTAACAGCAACCAAACAGACAAAAATCATATGCCTGGGTGTTCCTATTCTAGGTGGGGGAAACAGACAATAAGCAGTTTTTTTTAAGACAATTGCATCATCTGTTAGAAGGTGGCAAGGGCAGGAGAAACAAATGAACCGAGGAAAGCAGAGGGTGAGTGCTAGAGGCGGGAGGAGGATTTGTGGTAGTAAGAAAGGCTTGCTGGGGAGGTGACAACTGAGCAGAGACTGAAAGAAGGAGGGGGCAGGGGAAGCCGTTTAGGTTCTGGGGGAAGAATATTCGAGGCGGAAAGAAAAGGAAGCACAGAGGCCCCACGTAGGAGCAGGCCTAGCCTGTCTGAGGAATGGCAGGGAGGCTGGTATGGCTGGAGTGGATGAGGGCAGACGGAAGCAGGAGATGAGGGCAGGAGGTAGGTCCCCAGAGTCCACAAGGAAAGCCCTGGAGCTCCCACAGGGTCTCTGGAGTTTCCTCTGCATGACACTGGGA